TATTTAGCCGATTGCAAACTCGCTTTGGTTTACTTGCAAAGCAACTTAAGTAGCTTGTTTAACAGCCTTACGTTTACAATTACAATAACACCATCAGTATTTCCGATTAACCTTTGGACGATGCTTCATTAACACCCACCAGTTAACCAACGTTGGTCCTAACCTTTGCTTACTCACTAAAGCAAATCACGTTACTAATCATTGTTAGCACTCACTAGTTAACCCCAACATTGCTTGCTCACCAAAGCAAATAAACGTGGCTTTTTACCAAAGCTTCACAAAAAATTGGCAATATAAAACTTTTTATTTCAAATGAATCTAAACCTATTAATTATGCTTTGAATCGTGTAAACCCACATTCATCTATCTTTCAATACGCAACCACCATTATTTTCATTACACACTGTATCATGTTATTAATAAGAAATATTCGAGTTGAACTTGATGAGCAATGAATTCAGAACGTATTCCTATAAATCAATAATTAGATGATGTTTTATTTAGTGATATCAGCCATTAAAAAATCTTAGATGGCCAAGCAGCTAAGAACTCATAAATATTTTTTATCTTGGATAAAAAATATAAATTACCAAAAAATCAATTTTATCAAGAATCTAAAATTTAAAAAATAAAAAATTTTGAATTTTCTTTTAAAAAAAAAAAAGAATATTATAAATATCACCTCACCAAGTCTATTTCTTTTCTTTGTAAATGTTGTGAATCAAAATCAAATCGTTAATTTGAAATTTATTATTCAAAGTTTGATCAGGATGCAAATTCTGATCGCTAATTTTGAATTTCACGTGCGTTTTTTCTGATTTTTCTGTGTAAATTTAAAATCCAGATATTTTGATACCTTTGACATTATTTATTTACCATCAAATTTTGGCTCTTGCATATCAGGGTTTATTTATTGCTATTATCATGAATATATTAATATTGTATTTTTACCCAAAAAACGCCCGTTGTGACAGAACCCCCAAAAATATAAGAAATACAAGCTGACATAATTCTTACATGATTTCATATAAAAATCATTCAGAATTAGATTTCCTGATGATACTAATGCAGTGTTTGTTTTCTTCTGCTGTTTCAAGCAAGGATCTATCCAAACTTGCCTTTTCAAGCAAAAATCAGGAGTTGCTCAATTCCTTTTTATGTTGATTTAATTTCTATAATGAAATTTTTATAGAAATGTTAAAATAAGTTAACAATAAATAATAAAAACCAACGTTAACAAAAATCAATACTTATATTAAACCATTATATATTTTTCACTAAACATTACAGTTCACCTCTATAACAGACCTTGCTCTGCAGCAGATTGAGAATTTAAGCCCAATTTATATAAATTATTACTACTATATATAGCAGATTCTCTTTATTTTTTCCCATGCCGAATGGTCCATTACATAGAGAGTGAATTGTGTGTCCTTTTGTTATTTTAATAATTGCATCACCCTAGCAATAATCTGAAAGTCCCTTTCTATGTTTATAGGACAATCAATAACGGTTAAATGTTTGTAAAATATGCCATTTATCAAAGGTTGACCTTAACTAAAACAGTGCATTATACTGTATGTTTAACCTAAACCAAATTTAATCTTTTTTTACCTTTGATGGCTTTTTCGTCTTGCCATCCAAGTGAAAGTGTGGTAGAGATTTTCCTCCAATTGTATCCAATGTCTCAATAAAACCATTTCAAAAAAATAAAAATAAAAAAAAAACAATATTAAATCTAACATTGACCTTCTTGGTCTTAAACCAGAATGAGATGCAGCAGAGGACTTGCTGAAATCAATATAGATATCAAACTTTACGAACATGATGTATTGGAATAGAAAAGAGGTAGCAAAGAAAGAATTACCTTTGTAATATTAAAATTATAACATATACACAATAAAATTTCAACTAATTATTAAAATCGTATCAATTTTAATAACAGTAAAGATTTTAAACTTGTAAATGATTTATAATAAATTGGATTTTTATGACGTTTGATACATTAAAAAGCAGAATTGGATGATAATATTAACTTTATTTAATTTATTTGTTGATTTTTAAAAATGCACAAGTTGCTTTACAATAAAATTAATTTGATTAACTTTTTAAATATATTTTAACATAAATTATAGGTAAACATAATCATTGTTCTTCACCCAATGATCTTTTCCATTATTATTCTTTGTCATATTTTACTCAATGGTCTCTTCATCATATTTTATCCAATGATCTTTTTCAATTACACTAAATCCAGATTCATTTTTTTTGACACGGTAAAAAGAATCTGAAAATTCCGTATTTCCAATCAACTCTGAAAATTTTTCATCATGAGTTATAATAATTAATTGAAAGTTTGGTTGATTACGACGTGACTCTAATAATTGTCTTAAACTTAAAGCCAAGCTTCTTACATTTGCATCATCTAAATTGGTGGTTGGTTCATCAAGTGCTAATGCTCCAAATTTAATACAAAAGGCTTCTGCTAATGCTATTCTTATAACTATTGAAGCCAACATTCGTTGACCTGCACTACTTTTTGCACGCATATCAACTTCTACATCTCCTCTAATCATTACAACTCGGTAATTATGTGATCTTTTTGTACTTTCACCATCCTTTTCTGCTCGTATCTCTATTGCATCAATATCCCTGCCACGATATGTTAAAATCCATAAATGTCGAATTATAGAATTGATTTCTTTCATCTTTGCTGCATGATAACGCATTATTGCCTTGTCCAACATTTGTGCATATGTGTTAAGATCCCCTATCGCCAATTCAGAAGTACATACAATAACATCTTGTTCTCGATGCTTTTTTTCAATATCCTTGTAATTGGTTTCAAGTTCTTCATTAGTACGTTTAATAGTCTCTTCTAATTGTCTCTTACATCCATTCTGATTAGCAAGTTCTACCGTGATCTCTTCATAAAACTGTTTTGATTCAACCAATTGATTATTAGTGTTGCTACAATCTAAATGATTTAATCTTGATTCCAATTTTTGAATTTCCAAGTCAAGTCTGTGAATGGTCTGTTTGCAGTTTAGGTATCTTAGATTATCTTGGATATTCCTTTCAATTTCTCTTGTGTTTGCCATTGATTCATCTAAAATTCGAATCTTTTCTTCTAGCCTATTAAGGTTAGTTGTTTCAATATTAATATTCCATTCAACTGTTGACACAAAATCTTTACTAGAAGACAATTTTTCTTTTAAATTTTCTTTCTCAAATATTTTTATTTCTTTTCCAACTCCATCGAGTCTTTTAATTGAATAAGAAATATCATTTTTTAATTTTGTGATTGTATTTTCAATATCATGAATTTGTGTCGCAATTTCGGTTAATTCTTCTTTTTGTCTTGATATACTTGATTGAAGTTCTGCAATTTCTGGATCCAATACATTTTTCCTGGCTTCATAGCCTGTAATTTTTGACTTTATCTCATCTAAAGCCTTATTTACATATTTCATTTTTTCTAAATCACGAATACTATTTGAATACTTGGAATTCTTTTCATTAAGTATATCTTGTAGTTTAGACAAAAGATTTGTGTCTTCATCAAGCTTTTGTGATAATTTTATTTCACAATCTTCGATATGATTGATTTGGTCTCGTAAAGAGTCACGCTCCATTAAACATTTATCTAGTGTCATTGTAGATCCAATTTCGCTTAATTCTTCTTCAAGCTGATAAATATCAAAATCTAATTTCTTTATTTTTTTGTTTGAATCAACAATTTGTTCGGCATTCTTGTGTAATTTTTCAAGTTCGTCAATTTCACCTTGAAGATTCTTTACTTTTTCAGATATCTCATTCTTTAATGAATCTTTTTGAACTTTTTCTTTATTTAATTTGTCAATTCTTTTTTCTAATTCTGAGTTCTCCACTTTTAATTGGTTGACATAATTCCAACTTGGCTCTAATTTACGAAGGGCCTGAACTCGAATTGTCAATGCTTGAACTTCAACCTTATTTTTCTCATTTTTCTTTGGAATTACATTATTAATAATATTTTTTAGGTCACTCAATAATCTTTCCAAATCTTTGTTTGTTTCAAACTTATGCTTACACAGAGAACACTCATTATTATCTTTACATTCATTAAGAAACTTATTATATAATGATATGTGGTATGAAGATCCTGAAAGTTGATTTTGACAATCCTTTAATTTTTCTTCTTCTTGTCTCAATACATCATCAAAATTTTTATCACCACATTCCTTTTTAATCATATTGATATACATGTTAGATTTATCCTGCAACTCTTTTTTGTGTGAATTTAACATTTGTAAATTGGCATTAATCTTAGAAACATCACTTATAATACATGGGTTATCGTGATTCATTAGTCTATGATGTTCAGATTTGTAACATGTTATTAGCTTTTTAAGATCTTTATCAAGTGATTCAATAACTGGCTCTTTCTTTAATTTTTCTTTTAATTTTATTTTGATAAATTCAACTAAAGGCTGTAATGATTCAAAATTTTTTACTTGATCTTCTCGCTCTTCTTTTCTATATTGTAATTTTGCAGCAATGTCTGTTTGTTTGCTTAAAATAGAAATTTCATTATCAAGATTATAAAGTTTTTTTTGAAGATCTGATCGTATTTGTTTTTGCATAGAAATTTTTGACCTGATGTCTTCATTTTTAAATTTTAAATTTTCACATTCATAATTTTCATATGCATCCTTTGCCTCTTTTTCTAATTGATCTAAATCAACTTCAGACAATTTAATACCATGTATTTCATTTTCAAGTTCTCTCTTTTTTTTTTGAGATGCCCACATTTCCTTTATGATTGCTTGTTTTTCTCCTTCTAATTCATTTAAACTTTCAGATAAATTATTCAATGAAAGTTTCAAGTTTTTCTTTTGATCTGAAAAATTATTATGTTCTATATTTAAAACACTTTCTTTTTCATGAATTACGATATTCAGTTTGTGATTAACTTCAGACATGATATTTTCAAGTGATGTAGCTTCATAATCAATCATAATTGGATCTTGAAATTTATACAAAGAAGTAATTTCTGTGATAATATCTTTAAATTCTATGATTTTTGCTTGATAAGTGTCAAATTTTGCTTTGTATGAACCCAAATCATTATGAGTCTCAGATAACGAAGTTCTCAAATCTTGGATTACACCTTCAAGTTCTTTTTTTTTCTTTAATAAATCTTCATGATCTTCATGTTTTGATGCAGGATTAGTCCTAATGTTTTGCAAAATAGCATTTAATTCTTGTTCATCATCAGATATTATTTTAAAATTAGTCAACAATTGATCACAATTATTTTCCATGATAGCCTTTTCACTTTTTTTCATAGCCAATCTCATATTAATGGACTTGATTTCATCAGATGCCTGTTGTAATTGGCTTATTTTTTTAGAGGTGTTGGATTTATTGATAGTCAATTGATCAATTTTCTCATCAATTTGTTCGATTTTTTTTTGATCAGCCTTTATATTTATATTATGTTTTTCAGCTTGATCTTTTTGAGCTTTTAATAAATTTAATAAATTTTGACTTTCTTTTAGTTCGTTTGTTTTTGTTTTTTTTAGATCAATCATAGAAGCTAAAGCTTTTGTAAATTTGGTGGCAGCAAAAATATCATCAAATTTTTTTTTCAAAGTAAATGAATCACTTAATGGCCAAAGGTTATCTTCTTGATGACAGAAAATAACATTTTCTAAAATCGCTTTAGAGATACCAAGTAAGTTTGCCACATCTTTATCAATGTCTGCACAACGTGAACTAACGCTTGCAACCTCATTCGTTATAAGATTTCTTACTTGCAAGGATGAATCAACAGTTGTTAATTTTAGAGATGACAAAAGTTGTTTAAGTGACAATACTCTTGTGCATGTGATCTCATGACCACAAATACTTTTGAAGACAACTTTCGCTTGAGCAAGAACCTCTTGTTTTTTGCAAAATTGTAGATCATGAACAAAAGAATGACCATAGTCGTTACACCTTGGATAATTTCCAACGGTAGCAAATCTTAAACTTTCAACTATTGTTGTTTTTCCAGCACCATTAGAACCAACTATTAAAGTAATGGGTTTTAAGAATTCAATGTATTGAACGGTTTGAGGATCAAAAGAACGAATCCCTTGTATCATCAACCCTTCAAGTGATGCCATTTATTATATATAAACAATGTGTATATACAAAACTTATTCTATATACTGTATATATGTATGTAAAAGAATCAGATTGATTGATGATGAACAGTTATTTTTTTTGATTTTTATATAATAAAAAAGTTTGTGTAAGAGTTGGTATATTAATAGATAACTATATATATATATAAATAACACAATAACACGTCAAATTTTCACGTGTTAAAATTTATTTTAAAAATTGTCGATCATAAACAATTATATATATATACAAAAAAAAATCTATTTTTTTTATGGTGTACATCTTCCCATAAATCTAGGATATAGACAGCATTCTTTTACTGTATCGCGATTCAATAACCATGCAAGAAAACGTTCAACACCTAAACCAAATCCACCATGCGGAGATGTACCATATTTACGTTGATCAGTATACCAATAATAGTTGGTTGGATCAAGGCCTTTAATTAATATCAAAAAAAAAAAAAAAAGGTTTAATTTAGATAAATTTTATAGTAAACAAATTTATACCAGCACATATATAATTAATATAAATACCTTCACGTTTATAACCTTCCAACAACTCATTCTTAAATAATGATTACAACTAATTAATTATTATTTTATTCGATATAATAATATAAACTGGGGAGAGTTTACTTACCAAATCATTGATCCTCATACTACCGCCAACAATCTCACCAACACCTGGCATCAACACATCCACACTTTCAGTGACCCTACGATCATCACTACACCTACTCATATAAAAACTTTTAATTTCAGCAGGAAACCGATGAAGAAAGATAGGTTGATTGATTTTATCAGTCATTGCACGTTCTGGAGCCTCGGGAATATCCTCACCAAACTCATAAAAGCTACCATCCTCCTTTTTAATATCATTTTCTTTAAGATATTTTATCGCATCCTTGTAATCCAATCTTAGAAATGGACGCTTTGGTGGTTGGAAGTCGGGATTAAGTTGATCAATAAGTTTACGAGTTGGTTCGTGTGAGAGTACTTGATCAATTGTCGTACAAATAATATCTTCTAATGTATTTAATAAATCGTCAAATGTAATAAAAGCCATTTCTGCCTCTAAATGTGTATATCTAACATTAACCATAAAATAAATATTTACTCAATAATAATAATACCAATAGTCACGAATATTAATTATACCAACTCTGATAAATGTCTTCTAGTATGAGATTTTTCAGCTCTATATGATTCAGACATACAATAAACATCGCCAAGAGATGGGAGGCATGTTTCAAGGTATAGTTGTGAGGATTGGGTAAGGAAAGCCTAACAGCATGTATATATTTATTTATTTATTAAAAAAAAACAAACTAATTAATAAAACTAACAAAATAGTTGACATACCTTTTCACTATAATAATTCAATTCGAATAATGTGCTTCCGCCCTCTACTTGTGTTTGAACCATACATGGAGGTGTAACCTCAGTGAATCCTCTTGAATCAAAATAATCGCGAAATGCTTTCATCACAGCTGATCTAGCTTTTAACACAGCGGATGAAGTTTCACCTCGAAGAACAAGATGTCTTTGATCAAACATAACTGAAGGGTCAGCTTCTGCATTAAGCTTGTTAGTGAATGCATCATCTCCACCAGGCGCCTTATGAAAAACTTCCCAATAATCTACATTGAGTTCATGATTATCTGGTGCCTAATAATAATGATTATGATGATAAAATGAGTTTAACTGATGATTATTGACTTGAATCAACCGATCAATTGATCTTTGTTTACTTACTGATTTCCCTTCAGGAAGTTCAGAAATAACTCCATAAACAGTGACAGTAGATTCTAAAGTTAATGTTAGCGCATCATACGTTTGGCACTATAATAATTATTTATTATTATTATTATCATCCTTTTTTTCAGTAAGTATAAATATAATGTCAAAAAGAATAATAATTTACCACTTTTCCTGTCAAAAGACATTGGATATAACCAGTTCCATCTCTTAAGATTAAAAATTTCATATCTTTTCCTTGTGTGCGAAGACGATGAACCCATCCTGATACTTTAACACGTTTTTTACGATTTTCAATTGATTCACAAATTTTTATCTTAAAAAATATATATATGTATATACATGTTATATATATATATATGGTATTTTGAATGATAAATTTGATGGTGGTAAAAAAATAAATAATACCTTTACAGGTGTAGGAAGATTAGGATCTTGTTCAAGTACAATTTTTTTTGCTTCTTCTAATTTTCTCTGTTCTTCTTCTAATTGAACTTTTGATTTTTCTTTATCAGATTTTTTCTGTTCTTCTTGTTTTTTTGCTTTTTTTGCCAAGTCTTCTACTCTTTTTTTTGCTTTTTTTAAAGCAGCACCAGAAATATCTTTGAATTCTTGGTCTTCAGAAGTTTTCTTTATCAAAATATTTATATCCAACCCTTTTTTTTGTAGTGCAAATAAAGCTGTTTGATATGGTTTTGTCGATGTTCCATCACCAGTTTCATCAGAGCCTTGTGTCTCATCAACATAAACATGAGGGGTATCTTTCTTTGCCAAAATTAAAAAAAAATTAAATTAAGAATTTACTAATATTATCCATTATTTACAGATTAATTGATTAATTATTTTTTTTAAAAAAATATTTACTATCTTTAAGAGTTAATTTTTCCGCCATTTGTGTTGATAAATCAGACATGATTTTTTTTTTTAATCGCTCGAAATCACAAAATAAAATAATGACTCAAGGTTACACTATAGACAACAAATTTGAAATCATATGATTACGATTCGTTATCTTTAAGTAAAAGATAAATGTAATCTGCCGATGTTCATTTACAACTACCATGTAAGGTATTAGAGTTTGACATGGGATCTTTATAGAAAGATTCTAAAAATATATTACATGGTAAAACAAATGAAATAAAAGCAGTCGATCGGTCAATCACCAAATTTTGATTGATGTTCTGTACATTATATTCTTGAATATTTCGTTTGTTGGCGACAAATTCATCACTGAATAATTTGCGTGAATATCCTCAAAACTATTTTGCAACTTTATATTATAATCATGTGATACAATCAGTTTATCGATTAATAATGAGTATTTCAGCAAACATATAATTATAAAATCTTGTACTTTTTAATTTAATACAATTATCAAACACTTCCATTAATTACTGGTCCAATTCGTTGTTATATAGTATAAATAAATTTTCTAAATTTTTGCTAGATAATGAAACTGATTTAAATAGCTTTCTTGAAGGTTTATGATCATATTGTGAATCACTATTATTAACATTCAGATTTTTAATATTTTTTTAATAAAATCAGACAAGTCAAGAAATTGTTGATCATAAAAAAATAAATATTTTTCCAACTTTTTACTTTGCCAGAATAAGATCTTTAATGTTTTTAAATTGTTAAAAGTTGATAATAATAAATCATCTAAATTATTTTCTTTGCAACAAGATCCATAAAAAATTATCGATTGTGAGTGTGTTAATATTGCTTTTTTTAATTCACCTGGTAAAATTGTGTTTCTTTCTGATCCAATATCTAAATATTTAATTTGATTCTGTGTTTTAATTAGCTGTGCTGATTCATATAAATCCTTATCATCTTTAGCAGCATAACATATTCTTAATGATTGAATATCTTTACAAATATTTGCTAACTTATTAACAAATTCTCCATTATAAGAACCACCCCAATCTATTCTATAAAGTCTCTGAAATCAAACATCAAATCTATGATGATTAATTAAAAAATTACAATCTAAATAACTAGTATTAAGCCTTCTAATACCTACTGAATGATCTAAAATAAAGTTTATTAATTTATTTTGTAAAGGAATTTTTATCAAATTTCTAAGACCATGACTGATGGAAATTATAGTGCAAAATCTGGCATAGTTGTATAATGGTGGTTTCTCCAATAGTTTAAAAGTAAATTTAATTCCTGTTGGATAATCTTTATCTTCTTCCAATAAGCAATTGATTAATATTTTGATACTGTTATACGAGTAAAATGGATTTCTAGTGACTTTGTCACTATTTTTATTAATAAAAAACAACAAGTTAAATTATTTATTCGAAATAATTAATAATACTTTGTTATTTTTTGATTTTTAATGTTATATAATATCACTTTTTTTTAATGATTTAAAAGCTTTCGATTCATTTCTAATTATTTGTTCAAGAAAATTATAAGCATTGACTGTATTCCTTTATTGTAATATTATATAGGAATATTCGCACTACTTTCCTCCTCTTCTTAATCTCTTCCTTAATTACCATTTCGTTATTGGTTACTCTATCATCAATTGATATGTTCCCGCGCAGTTAATGGCGAAATGAAAGAAAATCTATTTATTAAATTTTTAATATCACTTTCTATTATTAAATTAGATTAGCTATATTCACAACCTCTACATTGTCCGGCAAAAGAAGAATACAGTTCTCTTCCAGCAATTATTAATGGTAATTGGAGTAACGTTGTCCCGAGCTTCTGCAACAAATTATACGGCCTTTTTAATATCAAATTCTTTAGTTTTTTTTTACCTTCATGTTATCTATTTTCTCTTAGTCGAATAAAATAAATAAAACATTATCTTTTTGTTGTTATTTAAATCCTTTTCTTGGATGTGAATGCATTTGTCGCCATAAATTCCATATGTCTGTTACAATTCATGATGAATATCAATATGCATTATATATATTCCTTTTATAAATAAATTAAGTAATATCAAGATCATGCACGAACAAAACTTTTAAGGAACCGATTTTTGAAATATCCTGATGAGTAAAAGATGAGAAATTCAACAGAGTTGGAAAACAAAACCCTTGATCTTCTTTTTCGCGTGGGACGATGGTCACATCCAGGGTGTCGCGGAAAATTTTTTAGTGATTGAGTGTCTACTTGGTTCCCTTTTTTTGTGTGTATGTACACTTCCAAATTGCATACAAGTTGTAGAATTTTTAAAAATCATTTCCAAAAAAAAAAATAAAGATAAAATAAGTAGGCAGAGTTGGCATTGGACAACATCCTGGATATGTTCAAGGTATATTGAACTTGGCATTCTTGATGATAATAAATCTGATGATGGTGGTTATGGTAATTGATTGTCATTTTGAGTTAATGATTGGAGTTGGAGTTGCTTGGGTGAAGAAGGTTGTGGTTGTTTGTGATGTTGTTGTTGATCCTACACTTGATGGAATTATGTATTCGATCTACAGTTGCAGGGTAACATGTCAACCTTTATCACATGTGTTAGATTTAATAGGCTTCCTCATTCAAACATGCAAACACTGTGCAATTAAGCACCGTGGAATTTCTCCACAGGTAAAAGAGGGATGAACAAGCCGGATAACTTCAGACAAGCGAAATGCTTTAATCAATGTTGGCATTTGACTATTAGCGGCCAACATTATTGGCCAAAAATGGCCAGAATGGGCAAAACAGCAGTTTTCCGTATGAGATGTAGATCTCCAACAGTCGTGTTGCCTTTTTCATCTCTGATGTTTCTTAGTTCTTATGATCGTTTTTTTCTAGTCTGACATTCATTTTTATATTAAAATTTTTTAATTCATGATAAAGAAAATATCTCATTATTTTTATAATGAACTTGATGATTAATTAATGTAAAGAAAAACTTTCTAACAAATACCCTTTCATATTGAAAAGACGTTCTTCATATCAAGCTATAGTTATTCAAAGATGGTGTTGCTTTTTCACTTCAAAGCCGAGATTATTCAAAGTATCTAATGATGTATGACAAAACTTTTTAGTCATTGACGTAACTAAAGTATTGACTAAAGGTAGTCTCTCACCAGGATTATTTTGACGATTTGACTAAAGCAAAAGCACTTGACGTAATTAAAAATATTTGATGCAAGTAAAAATGCTTGATACAAGCAGCAATAATGATAATAATAAAATAGGATTATCAAAAGTTTAAAATGTGTGCCCGAGACGAATAAAGAATTATTATATCATTCTTTGTATATTGCAAGAAGAATAATTATCATGGGAAGTTTATAAATGTTATAATTTAAATTAGAAATTTTACTTTATTAAATTACTTATTTTTTTCCTCTTTTCTACAAATTAAAACCATTCTTTTATTATTACATTTCATAAAATGTAAATGTTTTTTCGAATTTTTAACTTTGAAGTTAACTACGCGTAATAGTGATACGCAATAATAATATTAGTATGCTTGAGCTGTCTTTTGTGTCTGAATTTGAAATAACATAGATTGATCAATATTGGTACTTAGAACGAACGACCTTTACATAACACATAAAGACAGGTTTTGATACATAAGTTTTAATTTTGTTTTCTATTTTTATTATCACTTTTAAATCTTCAAAGAATTTCTTTTATTATTGAATCACGATTGTTCTTCAAATAAAAAATGTTGTACGAAAAAATTGTTGCTAACAATATTTTTTATTTACATTTAATTGCATTGGGTTCTAATAATTAAAAGAAGGAATCGATGAATGACAATTTAATCTCCACTATAAATTATTTGTTATAATTATTTGTCTTTTTATTTTATCTTTTTTAAAGCTAAATTATAATAATGTTTTGAAAGAATAAACTTTTTGATTCTTGTTAAATTGTGGTTAACAATTATGGCTTGGCTACTCTTGGCAGTTAATTGGCCTTTTTTATTTTGAATAAATTTCTTTGCGGCACAAAAAATTTTTGGAGTGCCATTTGCAATTTACCGTCAAGTAATTCGGTGCTTGTCAATTAATTAGTTTACAATTTACTTTGGTTTCCTCTTTCTTGCACCTAGACGAATCTGTGAGCACACTTATGATACCAGATAATTGTAAATAAATAAATATGGCCTTTTACAAAACTCGAGAGCTTCTATAAAGTTCCTTTTATTCACTTGTGATCGATTTATTCGTTTACATTTATTGACTCTCTTTAGTTTACTTGAAAAACAACTCAAGTAGCTTGTTTAACTGCCTTACGTTTAGTATTTCTAATTAACCTTTGGACGGTACTTTGTTAATACTCACTAATTAACCAACGTTAATCCTAACCTTGCTTGCTTGTTCATTAAAGCAAATAAACGTGGCTTTTTACAAAGCTCCACAATTGTTACCTTTTACCAAGACATTAACTACACCTGTTGCTTTTATCAAGGCGCTTAAACAAAGAAAATAAAGACAATATTTTTATTTAATGATTAATTTTTATCAGAGTTTTATTTTATTAGAATGTTAATTATCCTCTGCGAGGACTTTAATGAAATTTTCGTTGATCGATACAATAAGGATAAAGATTATTGCAAAAGTAACTTAATCAATAAATATTGATATTATAATTATTTACATAAATAATTAATACACTAAAATTAATTAACCTGGAACATAAAATACCAAATCAGGAGAGATTGGGGTGCACGAGAAAAATATAAAAAAAAGACCTTGGAATATATATTTATAAGTTTTTTTGTGAGCTTTTATATTTTATTCGCCTTTAAAGCAATTTTACTTGCGTAATAGTTTTACAACTTTGGTAACATTTCGTCAAACAACATTAAAAGGGGTTAAAAAGAAAAAATAGACCAGTATTTAACAATAAAAATAAGTTTATTTTTCTTCTTTTAAATGTTTTTGCTTTTTGTTGGGTAATAGCACATCTTCATTCTGCTTTTTTTTTCTAACATTTATT